AGAGTTGTGGGCTTGATCCCCAGTGTGGGGCGTGCAGGAGGCAGCCGGTCCGTGATTCTCTCTCATCATGGATGTCTCTCTCTCTCTCTCTCTCTCTCTCTCTCTCTCTCTCTCTCCCTTCCAATCAGAAATCAATACAAATATGTTAAAAAAAATAAAATAGCCCTGGCTGGTTTTGCTCAGTGGATAGAGCATCTGGCTTTGGACTGAAGGGTCCTGGGTTCGATTCCCAGTCAAGAGCACAGGCCTGGGTTGCAGGCTCCATCCCCAGTGTGGGGCGTGCAGGAGGCAGCCGATCCTTGGTTCTCTCTCATCATGGATGTGTCTATCTCTCTCTCTCCCTTCCTCTCTGAAACCAATAAAAATATATTTTAAAAAAAGAAAGAAAGAAGAGAGAAGGGGGTCAGAGGGAGTAGGCCGCCCCGTCGGGGGGGACAGGTGTACCCCCTTTCACCGGCTTTCTTCCTGTTTATCCGAGGAACGTGGAACGGGGGGAGGAGGGGAGCCCGCAGAGAGAACAAATGTAGATTTTCCTAGGCGACTGGGGCCTGCAGGGGAACGTCTTCAGTGCCTGACAAATAAAGTCCGCTTCTGCTGTGCGCGTCCGAGAGGTCCGCGCCCTGGGATCCGGGGCCCTGGGATCGTAAATGTCAGTCGCCGGAGAGAGACTCCATCTGTTTATTTGCATTTCTGATGAGTTTGGCGAGGGAGCGATCTGAGGCCCTTAATACTTGGAAGGCAGACAAAGGGTTCTTTGTCGGCGGGAGCCCTTTCTGGATCTTACATATATAATGCCATCTTCTCTCTCCTGGCCGGGCCGGGCCGGATGCAGAATGGATGGGACTTGATTAACTCTTTGAGTTAATCTACGTTCCAGTGGGGGGGCGGGGAGGGGGGGGGCGCCTGCCTGCCCGCCTCTCTCCACCGCACACAGAACCGGTCTGGGGGTTTCTCCCTCGGGATCCCCCCAATAAGTCCTTCCTCGAACCTGGACAAATGGGGAGCAGAAAGCGGTGTTGTCGGTCCGGCTCTGGGGCTGCCGGCTGTGGGGTGGCGGGGTGCCCACCCAAGGAGGGGGCAGGGGCTGGCTCCAGCCACGTGGTCACGTCTCTTCTTCCAACTGGCAGGAGCGAGGTCCCACGGTCCTCTGTGACCACGTACCTAACCCCCCCCCCCCCCGAGGGCCTTCCCCACGGACACGTGGGGCTTAAATGTTGGAGCTGACCTGCGGGCTCGGGGCAAATGAAAGAAAAAAAAAAAAAAAAAAAAACGCTGGGCCCGGCTGGGGGGGCTCAGTGGCTGGGCGTCCACCTGTGAACCAGGGGGGCAGGGTTCGATTCCCAGGGAAGGGCACCTGCCCGGGTTGCGGGCTCCCTCCCCAGTGGGGGGGGTGGAGGAGGCGGCCGAACCCTGGCTCTTTCTCATCATGGATGTTTCCCTCTCCCTCCCTCTCCCTTTTTCTCTGAAGTTAATAAAAATGTTTTAAAAAAAACATAACCACCAACAAAACATAGAAAAACCCCTTAAAAACGAGGGGGAAAAAGAAAAAGGAAAACCGCTCCCCCCTGAAAACGGAAAGAAGGAGGCCGGAAGACTTTCCCCCGAGAATGAACCAGAGGTTCTCACGCTGTCGGCCCACGTTTTTGCTCCCGTGGGCAGGAGAGAAAGAGGTATATCCGTCTGTCCCTCCCGCGTCCCGCTGTCCTCATCTCTGGTCCCGGGCCTCGGCCCTTCCTGGGAGGTCAGAGGTCAGCAGGCAGGCTGCCCTAGGCGGGGCTGGAGGTGGAGAGAGGGCAAGCGAATGGAGCGCCTCCCTCTGGCCACTCCTATTTCCCCCACACGTGGAACCTGAGCCGGGCCTCGGCGGGGGGGACGCTGCTTCTGGGGACATTTGGGTCCAGAAAGGGATCCTTTTGGAGAATCGGACCGGACCTCCGCGACGGCCAGTCTTTCTTTATTCCTGAAACTCTAGGCTCAACCCGCGGAGCCCGAGGGTTCCGTGGACCCCAGTTTGGGAAACGCCACAATGGACGCTCAGCCCTCTCCCAGAAGGCATTGAGACCGCGTCGTCCCCACCCGGGGGTAAGGGGGCCACACCTTATTATACGCATCGATACGGTTTCTTTTCCTGTTTTATGAAGGGCCTCGATGGCCAAGCACACAGGCCAGTTAGGTTTCTGCCTTTACGCACACGGTTCCTTCTGCCCCGATGCTCCGTCACCGACCTGCATGTGGGCTTCATTCACCTGTAATCTTCCCCCTGAGGATTTCTTTGTCTTGTTTAAGATACTAGCGGCCCGGTGCATGAATTCGTGCACCAGTGGGGCCCCTTGGCCTGGCCTGTGGGATGGGGCCAAAACCGGCTCTTGAACATCCCCAAGGGGTCCCGGATTGCGAGAGGGTGCAGACCAGGCCGAGGGACCCCACCAGTGAGTGATCTGGGCCAGGGAGGGACCTGGAAGAGGGCTCCAGGATGTGTCCAGCCTGTCTCAGTCTCGATCGGCCGGACCCCAGCAGCAAGCTAATCTACCAGTCGGAGCGTCTGCCCCCTGGTGGTCAGTGCATGTCATAGCGAGCGGTTGAGCGGCCTTAGCATATCGTTAGCATATTAGGCTTTGATTATATAGGATATTTTTATTGATTTCAGAGAGGAAGGGAGAGGGAGAGATAGAAACATCACTGATGAAAGAGAATCATGGGTTGGCTGCCTCCTGCATGCCCCACACTGGGGATGGAGCCCGCAACCTGGGCCTGTGCCCTTGACCGGGACTCGAACCCTGACCTCCTGGTTCCTAGGTCGACGCTCAACCACCGAGCCACGCCGGCCGGGCCTCTTGATTTTTTTTGCTTAGAAAATCACAAAATCAGACCTTTTAAGTGACACAGACCTGAAAGGAAGAAGGAAGCACGCAGGGACAATGGCTGTTAGCATTTCAGTAGAGAGGGAGCGTGTGTTTACATACAGAGACAGAGAGAATTTGACATATGACAACATGCCGTCTGGTGGCATGCTTTTCCACTTCAGAAGAGATCCGTAAAGACCAAACCCGCCCATCACTCTATTTCTGCAGCCCTGTGACTTATGAACGCTGCCTGGTATTCCATCGTCTCCGTGGGCTACACTGTTACGTAACCAATTGGGTGCAAAGTTATTATCGCTGACTTTTTCTATTACGAACCACAGCGAAGAGACGTATTGGCAGCACTTTTATAAAACACATTTTTGTTGATTTCAGGGAGGAAGGGAGAAGGAGAGAGAGAGAAAGAAACATCGATGTTGAGAGAGAATCGTGGATCGGCTGCCTCCTGCACCCCCCCCACTGGGGATCGAGCCCGCACCCCGGGCCTGTGCCCTGACCGGGAATCGAACCCTGACCTCCTGGTTCCTAGGTCGATGCTCGACCACTGAGCCACGCCGGCCGGGCCCTAGCACTTCTTTTTTTCTTTTTTAAATATATATTTTATTGATTTTTTTACAGAGAGGAAGGGAGAGGGATAGAGAGCCAGAAACATCGATGAGAGAGAAACACCGATCAGCTGCCTCCTGCACGCCCCCCACTGGGGATGTGCCCGCAACCAAGGCACATGCCCTTGACCGGAATCGAACCTGGGACCCCTCAGTCCGCAGGCCGACGCGCTATCCACCGAGCCACACCGGCCGGGCCCTAGCATTTCTTTATGTGGTTGACAACAAGCTTGAGTTAAAACTCCACTGGTGTTAATAATCCTCTCCCTCCCTTTCCCCCTTTTTTCTGATGCTGTCGCTATAGAACTGGCTGGAAGGTTCCGTGCCGTCGGCGAGCCTCTGGGCGTCCGTCCTGAGCCATGGAGGCCGGTCCGGACACCTCCCTGTTCCTGGTGAAGATCCTGGAGGAGCTGGACAGCAAGCGCAGCAGCGTCTCCTACCAGGACCTGTGCAAGTCGCTGTGCGCCCGCTTCGACCTGCCCCAGCTCGCCCGGCTGCGCAGCGTGCTCTTCTACACGGCCTGTCTGGACCCCGGCTTCCCCGCCACCTTGTTCAAGGACAAGATGAAGTGCCCGGGGAACAACCAGCAGTCCAAGAAGATCATGGTGGCGGCCGACATCGTCACCATCTTCAACCTCATCCAGATGACGGGGGGCGCGGCCAGGGAGAAGCTGCCGGTCGGTGGTGGCTGGCCCGAGGCGCGCCCGAAGGAGGCGGCCCGCGACTCCTGCCGGCCCGGCGACGTTGAGGAGGAGGCCTGCGAGCCGCTGGGCTGCGAGCTGGCCGAGGGCCCGTTCGGCCGGGCCTTCCCCGCCAGGCAGCCGGCCCCGTGCCGGGACGTGGCCTGCGCCGACTGCCCCCAGTGTGTGCCTGTTTCCGAGCCCAACTTCCTGCTGGGCGTGGGGCAGGAGGCCGAGGCCCGGGCCGCCTCGCTGGACCGGCTGCAGGCCCTGGCCCCGTACGGGGTGGCCAGCCCCCAGCCCTGTGAGATGCAGAGGACCTACTTCCCCATGACCCTGGACAGCGAGCCCGTCTCCGATCAGGACTCGCTGCCCGGGCCCCCCGACGTCAAGGGGACCTTTGTCGCCAACGTCGACGGCGGGCCCTTTGGGGTCCAGACCTGCGTCCAGAAAAGGAGTATCTTCAAGGAGGATTTTCACAACCTGATGGCCGTGTCCCCCGGCTTGGTCGGCCCCGCGAACGAGGCCGAGGGGGAGCACGGGGACCCCCAGAGCCGGAAGGAGCCCCCCAAGGCCCCCTTCTTCAATCACAGCTTCGAAATGCCCTACCACGGCCGGTACCTGGACGCCGTGTACTCCCCCGTCCCCGACAAGAGGCGGGCCAAGCACGAGAGCCTCGACGACCTGCAGGCGTCCACGTATTTCGGACCCACGCCCGTGATGGGGACCCCGGAGGCCAGGCGCTGCCCGGGGGGGAGGCCGGGCAAGCAGACGCCCTGGCCGGCCAAGAGCTGGAGCCTGAACACGGAAGAGGTCCCCGACTTGGAACGGTCCTTTTTCCACGGAAACCCGTCCCGAGAGAAGCTGCGCTACCCCAACCCCGGCAGCCCCGCGCCCGGCTTCCCGGCCCTGGACCAGCGCCCGGCTTACCTCGCGCCGACGACGGAGCCGCAGCCCATGCTCCCTGCGGGCTACGCGGCCGCGGCCAACGGGCTCCACGCTCAGGAGCTCTCGTCCCCCGTGGACGTGGAGGAGCGCGAGCCGGTGAAAAAGAAGTTCAAGGACAAGGGCATCGGCTGCACCGGCGGGCAGCTCAGCTCCGACACCAGCAGCGTGGGCACCCAGACGGAGCAGCCGGTGCCCGAGCCCAAGACCCGCCGGGATCTGCCGGGCAAGTACGGGGACAGGCCCGCCGCGCGGCAGTCGGACGAGGACTCGGAAGTCGTCAGCGACGACATCAGCGACATCTTCCGCTTCCTGGACGACATGAGTGCCAGCGGCTCCACGGGGGTGATCCCCTCCTCCTGCTACAACAGCACGGGGTCCCTGTCCCAGCTGCCCAAGTCGGACGGCGACAGCTCCCCGGAGCACGGCGGCGGCGGCGGCGGCCACGTCGTAGCAGCAGCCGCCAAGCTGGCCGGCGGCGAGCTCCCCGGCGGCCAAGGAGAAAAGGGCAAGCGGCCCGAGCCCGGCCACCGCTCCGAAGAGGAGCTGAAGACCAGCGTCTGCAGGCTGGTGCTCAGGGTCGGCGAGATCGAGCGCAAGCTGGAGTCGCTGTCGGGGGTCCGCGAGGAGATCTGCCAGGTGCTGGGCAAACTGAATAAGCTGGGCCAGAAGATGCAGCCGCCCGAGACGGCGAGGGTGCAGGTGGACCTGAACTCCCTGACCAGCGGGGCCGCGTCGGACGAGAGCGCCTCCCCCCGGGTGTTCCGGGCCCGCAGCGGCTCCCGTGGACCCAAAGCGGACAGCGGTGGCGGCGGCGGGGGCGCCGACTGGTGCTGCTCAGACGCCAGCGGCAGCAACAGCGAAAGCCTCCGTGTCAAGGCCTTGAAGAAGAGCCTGTTCCCCAGGCCGTCCTCCCGGTCGCTGACGGAGGAGAACAGCGCCACGGAGTCCAAAATCGCCAGCATCTCCAACTCGCCCAGGGACTGGCGCACCATCACCTACGCCAGCCGCCTGGGCCTGGACGAGGAGGAGGAGGTGGTCAGAGACCGAGGCCCCGGGGAGAGCAAGGACTGGCGTCGGAAACCCAAAGAGGTAATTGAGACTCCGGCTCGCGTGGCCGGGGCGCGGCTCGGTGGGTGTCCCGGCCTCCGGGCCCCCCCTCCACGCGCGCCAGCTCCCCCCCCCCCATGTTGGGTGGGCTTCCCATGTCAGGCCAGAGAGCAGAGCACAGGCAGGCGGCCGGGGTCAGCTGGGAGGAGCTGGTGCAGCGACCCCCAGGTGTGGGAGCCCAGATCCTCACAGAACAGGGCGGCGGTGGGGGACACGGTGGGGCAGGCACAGTCCCCAGGGATGTCCAGCAGCAGGACGCGGGCAAAGAACACGAGGGAAGTGACCTAACAGTGTCCCTTTCCTGGACTTCAGTGCATGCATGGCGTTCCTTTTTTTAAAATACATACATATTTTTAGCCCTGGCCGGTGTGGCTCAGTGGATAGAGTGTCGGCCTGCGGACCAAAGGGTCCTGGGTTTGATTCTGGTCAAGGGCACGGACCTCGGTGACAGGCTCCTCCCCGGCCCGGGCCCTGGTCAGGGCGCGTGCAGGAGGCAACCCATCAATGTGTTTCTCTCCCATCGATGTGTCTCTCCCCCATCGATGTTTCTCTCTGTCTCTCCCTCTCTCTAAGAATCAATGGAAGAATATCCTTGGGTGAGGATGAACAACAACACCAACAACAAATCAATAAAAATACATTTTTATTGATTTTAGAAGGAAGGGGGAGGGAGAGAGAGAGAAACATCCATGATGAGAGAGAATCATGGATCAGCCTCCTGCACGCCCCACACTGGGACCCAGGTCCCATGTTCCCCTTGAGGCCTCTGAATGCTTCAGGGTCTGAGATCTTCCCAAGGGGTGACTGCCGGTCTCGGCCCCCCCCACCCCCCCGCCCTCAGTTCTCTTAGTTCAGAGGGTAGATTTACACTTGTGTGTAGAAGCCTGTGATGTGTGTACACTGGCTGCCAGGTCAGAACGCAGGCTCCCGGGGGCAGGAGCGGTGAGGCAGGCGTGCACAGCTGGTAAGCTTCCCTCCTTAGAAGTCAGGTTCAGCCCAGCCCGCGCGGCTCAGGGGTGGAGTGTGGACCTACGAACCAGGAGGTCACGGTTCGATTCCAGGACATGGGCACATGCCCGGGTTGCGGGCTCGTGCCCCAGTGTGGGGCGTGCAGGAGGCAGCCGATCCATGATTCTTTCTCATCATGGATGTTTCTCTCTCCCTCTCTCTCTCTCTTCTTTCCTCTCTAAAATCAATAAAAGTATATATATAAATATATTTTTATTGATTTCTTTTTACAGAGAGGAAGGGAGAGGGATAGAGAGTCAGAAACATCGATCAGCTGCCTCCTGCGTGCCCCCTACTGGGGATGTGCCCGCAACCAAGGTACATGCCCTTGACCGGAATCGAACCTGGGACCCTTCAGTCCACAGGCCGACGCTCTACCCACTGAGCCACACCGGTTAGGGCAATACAAGCATATTAAAAAAGAAAGAAAAAAGTCAGGTTCAAATCCCAGCTGTCCCACTGACGGGCTGTGTGACCCTGGGTCAGTGTCTCACCCTCTCTGATCTGAGCTTCGTGTCCAGAGTGGGGACGATGGATTCAGCCTGGGATGCTGTTGGGAGGATGAATGAACTGAGATCATGCGCGTTAGGCCCTGAGCAGGGCCCTGGGAGGACTGTGATGTGATGGCGGAGGCAGCAGCTGCTGGCATCGGCCCGCCCTCAGCTTGGTGTGGGCCCCGCCCCCAGCTTAGTGAGGCCCCGCCCCATCTTGGTGTAGGCCCCGCCCCTGACTTGTACAGCTCCATCCGCCCCTGGCTCAGTGTGGGCCCCGCCCCTGGCTTGGCGAAGCCCCGCCCCCAGCTTAGTGAGTCCCCGCCCCTGACTTGGTGAGGCCCTGCCCCATCTTGGTGTAGGCCGAGATCCCAGCCTTGTGCAGCCCCGCCCCAACTGGGTGAGGCCACGCCCCAGCTCAGTGTGGGCCCCGCCCCCAGCTCAGTGAGGCCCCGCCCCTGACTTGGCGAGGCCGAGCTCCCAGCCTTGTGCAGCCCCGCCCCAACTGGGTGAGGCCACGCCCCCGGCTCAGTGCAGCGGACAGGCCGTGGCAGCTCAGTGAGGCCCCGCCCCAGCTCAGTGTGGGCCCCGCCCCCAGCTCAGTGAGGCCCTGCCGCCGGCTCAGTGAGGCCACGCCCCGGCTCAGTGTGGGCCCCGCCCCCAGCTTGTGAGGCTCCGCCCCCGGCTCAGTGCAGCCGGCAGGCAGTGGCAGCTCAGCGAGGGCCGGTGAGGGCGGGGTCGCGGGAAGGAGCAGAAGGAACACAATCCCGGAGCCTCTTGGAGGACACTCGGCTGATGGGTTAGGACCCGGGAGGCAGCCTTGCCTGCTCGTTGGGGCTGAGACAGGTCCCCCGCTGTCTCCCCATCAGTGTCGGCATCTCAGCATTAGCCCTGGTCTGTTCCAGCGCCCGTGGTCCTGTCCTGGGGGGGGAGGGGGGTGCGGGGGTGCGGGGATGGGGCGCTGTGCTGGTCCCAGCCCAGGTGTCAGCCACAGCCCCGCACACACAGCTGCTCCGTGGAGCGATTTCCCTGGAGTCGGGGGTTAAAAGGCCGACAGACAGCGAGCCCTGCCCTCCAGGGGCTCCCAGGCCAGCGGAGGAGACAGATGGGCAAACCCGGGGGTACAGTTCCCCGTGGACAGTGCCGGCCGCGGGTCTCTGTCCTCGTCCCATGGAGTGACACTCTGGGCACTGACCCCGTGTCGGTGCATCAAGGAGGGCTCCCTGGAGGAGGCGGCCTTCTGTAGGGCTCTGAGAGCCTGGAGTTAGAATGAGGAAGTATCCGAAGGCCCGGCAGTAGCAGGCTTCACAGACAGAGGACAGAGTCCCTGGTGCCCACGCAACTCAGGGACCGAGAGCGTCAGGGGCGCCCGCTGTGCTGGGTGCCTTCCCACTCACCCCCACCGCTGTCCACTCCGCTGTCTGGATCTCGAAGGCTCTGGCTGGGCTCCTTCCTTCGGGAGCAGCAACGGGGTGTCCTCAAGCTCCTGGCGGGAAAGGCCATGTCTTTTACCCCTGGCACCAGGGACAAGTTGGCAGGAGAGAGAGAGCGGGCAGTAATGGTTCAGCAACGGTTCCCTGAACCAGGCGAGGAGGTTTAGACCAGCTTCACCACCGGGCTGCTGTGCGCCCGGGGCCAGCCACTGAGCCTCTCTGGCCACCGGGAGGGGGTCGGGGAGAGAGCAGGGGGCCGTGAGGCTTGGGTAAAGCCGCGTCTCCCTGGCACAGAAATGCTCGCTCCTGGTAGGACCGTTCTGTTTGCTCGGGGATCCCTGCCTTTTGCCATCTGATGCCCGTGGGATGCCCGGGGCCGAGGGTGGCGGCCCGGCCACCCCGAGACCCGCCCGCGCTGTGCCCCCTGCAGGCGGACAGGCAGTACGACGTCCCCCCGCAGCACCGCCGGCCCAAGCAGCCCCGGGACTTCCTCGTGGAGCAGGTGTTCAGCCCGCACCCCTACCCCGCCTCGCTCAAGGCCCATCTGAAGAGCAACCCTCTGTACACGGACATGCGGCTGACCGAGCTGGCCGAGGTGCGGCGGGGCCAGCCCTCCTGGGCCGTCGAGGAGTACGCGCGGAGCGGGGGCGACAAGGGCAAGCTGGCAGCCCTGGACCTGCAGGTGAGCATCCGGGGCCGCAGGGTGCCGGGAGGGGGGTGCCGGAGGGGGAGAGAGAGGGGGGTGCCACGCCTCCAGATGCAGGAAGGGACCACCGTGGCCCAGACCTGCCTGTGCCCTGGGCCTCCAGCTCCCGGGCCCCGCCCCGGAATTCTGAGCAGAGTTTAACAAGCGGGCTCCTGTTTTGTTACTTGTTCGCAAACATGCAGCTGCTGTTTTTTAAAAAAAATCTATTTTTATTGATTTCAGAGAGGAAGGGTGAGGGAGAGAGAGAGAGAAACATCCATGATGAGAGAGAATCATTGACCGGCTGCCTCCTGCACGCCCCCTGCTGGGGATCGAGCCCGCAACCCGGGCATGTGTCCTGACCGGGAATCGAACCCGGGACCCTTCAGTCCGCAGGCCGACGCTCTACCCACTGAGCCAAACCAGCCAGGGCTGTAGCTGCTGTTTGGTTACTTGTTTGCACACATGTAGCCCTGAGGCTGCCTCGCTGATCTGCCGGCTTTGACCTTCTGACTTGTAACCGTACGTTTATGGCTCCGGCTCCGGACCAAGCTCACGTGCTCATATCTGCTCCGGAGACCGGAGCCAAATTGTCTCATGCGATAGAAGCTGGCTTCTCCCTCCCTGTGTAGCACGTGGGGTACGCATGTGGTGGGAGCCAAGCTATGGACGGCGGCTCCATACGGAGCAGCCCCAGGTAAGGGCCACCCGGGGCCTGCGAGGGCGGGTGTGCCGGACGGCGTGCTGTCTGTCCGCCCACAGGCAGGGCTGGGCTGTGCTGTGCTCACTCATTTTGGTGGCAGCTGCACCGTCTGCCTCTGTCCCCGCTGGTCACTGCAGGGGCTCGGGCTGCCTATGTCCCTGCTGGTCACTGCAGAGGCGCAGGCCCGGCCGGCGTGGCTCAGTGATTGAGCATCAACCCATGAACCAGGGTTCGATTCCCGGTCAGGGCACATGCCCGGATGGCGAGCTCGATCCCCGGGGTGAGGCGGGCAGGAGGCAGCTGATCCATGGTTCTCTCTCATCATGGATGTTTCTCTCTCTCTCTCTCCCTCTCCCTTCCTCTCTGAAATCAGTAAAAATATATTTTTAAAAATTGATTTAAAAAAACCATTAGATCTTCGGATTAGAGAGATTTAGGTGACGTGACTTAAAAGTGTGCAGCCGCGCCCTGGCTGGTGTGGCTCAGTGGATGGAGCATCAGCCTACAGACGGAAGGGTCCTGGGTTCGATTCTGGTCAGGGGCACATGCCCGGGTTCTGGGCTCAATCCCCAGTGGGGGACCTGCAGGAAGCAGCCACTCGATGATTCTCTCTCATCATTGTTGTTTCTCTCTCTCTCTCCTCCTCCCTTTCTCTCTGAAATCAATAAAAATATATTTTAAAAAAATAAAAAGAAATGTGTGCAGCCGGCCGCACAAAATATGCAGAAAGGGCTCCGCAGGCTCTGGAGGGTGTGAGCAGCATGGCTCAGGGACGTGGGCCCCATCTCAGGGCCCCGTCAGCATCTGGACCGCCTTTGGGGTGTCCCCGGGGCCCACCTGCAGGCGCCGGGGCAGGTGCAGGCCCCGTTCCCTCTCCGGTGCTGGGGAGGCCCGATGAGGACCGAGCGCGCTCGCCCGGGGGCCCTGGCGGCCTCGGCGCCGTTAGAGCGAGCAGCTAGCGGGAAACCTAATTTAAAATATTTTATTCCCAGGCTGGCTCCCGGCCCATAAAGCGTGCGTAATGACGGAAGGGAGCCGGGTGCCTTCTGGCGGGGTCAGATATGGGGTTCACACACCGTTCCCCTGCAGGGCGGCTGGGGAGGCCGGGAGGCAGGTGGCCGCCTGCTCCATCCTCCCGGGGGCTGGAGCCCGGATCCCAGGTGCCCGGCGGGGAGGGCTGAGCCTCCAGCCTGCCCCCCCAACCCGCTCTGAGGGCGCATCAGCCACTTCGTTCAGCAAAACCTGGCCGTCCTGGGTCCATCTCTCCCTCTGAGTGTCCGTGAAACTGCCCAGGGGGGTGGACAAAGCCCAGGCCTCGGCGCAAGCGTGAAGACACGCGTTCTAACCAGCGGAGCTGGGCCGTCACAGGAGAGCTCAGGGCAGCTTAGGGAGCCCAGGCCTCGGGGACCTGCAGACGCAAAGGCCGAGAGCCGTCCATTTTCAAGTGTCCACTTCCTTCTCTTCCTCCTCCTCCTCCTCCTCCTCCTCCTCTTCCTCCTCCTCTTCCTCTTCCTCTTCTTCTATTGCTTCTCCACAGAGAGGAAGGGAGAGGGATAGAGAGTCAGAAACATCGATGAGAGAGAAACACCAACCAGCTGCCTCCTGCACCCCCCCCACTGGGAATGTGCCTGCAACCAAGGCACATGCCCTTGGCCGGAATCGAACCTGGGACCTTTCAGTCCGCAGGCCGATGCTCTATCCGCTGAGCCACACCGGTCAGGCTCTTCTTCTTTATAAAATATTTTTAATGATTTTAGAAAGGAAGGGAGAGGGAGAGAGAGAGAGAGAGAGAAACATCAACGATGAGAGAGAATCATGGATCAGCTGCCTCCTGCACGCCCCCCACTGGGGATGGAGCCCGCAACCCGGGCCTGTGCCCGTGACCGGGAATCGAACCCTGACCTCCTGGTTCATAGGTTGACACTCAGCCACTGGGCCACGCCGCGCCGGGCCGATAGCCTTGCTTGAGATATCTCCCTTCTCAGGGAACCCCTGCCTGTTTTGGGTCGTGTGGCCTTGAATTTCAGTCTAGTGTTCCTCGGCCCTGTTTTGCTCGCTTATACGCCGACGACCCAGAGGTCGTGTGGGTCAGAACATGATGGCATAGCCCGGCCGGCGTGGCTCAGTGGTTCATCATTGACCTGTGAACCAGGAGGTCAGGGTTTGATTCCCGGTCAAGGGCACAGGCCCGGGTTGCGGGCTCCATCCCCAGTGCGGGGCGTGCGGGAGGCAGCCGATCCATGATTCTCTCTCATCACTGATGTTTCTCTCTCTCTCTCTCTCGCTTCCTCTCTGAAATCAATAAAAACATTAAAAAACAACATGATGACATTGTAGTCAGCAGGGGCAGGTGCCTGGCCCGTGGGGGCCGCATGGGCAGGGCTGGGGGCAGCGTGGGGCCAGGGGCGCGGGAGGCCGGCTGTCAGGATGGCGTTGACCCGGGCCCAGAGATTCGCCGTGTCTCTGACGCCTCCGCTTCCCTTTCAGACGCAGGAGTCCCTGAACCCCAACCACCTGGAGTACTGGATGGAGGACATCTACACGCCGGGCTATGACTCCCTCCTGAAGCGCAAGGAGGCCGAGTTCCGCAGGGCCCGGGCCTGCAAGCTCGCGGCGCTGGTGGCGGCGGCCGCCTGCACGGTCATCCTGGTCATCGTGGTGCCCCTGTGCACGATGAAGGCCTGAGCGGGACCCGCGCGCGCCGGGCCCCCCACGTCGTCCCCCTCCGCAGGCTGAACCTGCGTGGCGCGAGGCGGCGGGCGGCTGAGACGGAGCCCGGACCCGGACCCTTTCCCCCCAGGGGCCGTCGAGGGTCCTCGGGAGGCTCCCATCCCGCACGGACGTCCCCTGCCTGGGAGCCCCCGACGGCGTGAGGTCGGATGCGCTTTTTTTTATTTTTCGTTTATCCTCTCCCCCGAGGTATTTTCCTATTGGTTTTTAGGGCGAGTGGAAGGGAGAGGGAGAGGCAGAGAGAAACATCGATTTGAGAGAGAGACATCCATGGGTCGCCTCCTGCACACGCCCCGACCAGGGCCCGGGCTGGGGAGGAGCCTGCAACCAAGGTCCGTGCCCTTGACCGGAATCGAACCCGGGACCCTCAGGTCGCAGGCCGGCACTCTATCCACCGAGCCACACCAGCCAGGGCTCGGATGCGTGTTTTAGACGTGCAGTGGGGTTTCCTACCGAACGAATGGAATAAACAGCCAGATACAAATGGAATGATAAGCAAAAAAAAAAAAAAG